CCGGTCCCAAGGACAGTCCCTGCACGCCTCCTTTTCTGCCCAACTCGGACGAACATCCTTTCAACCTTTGCACTGAGATACGGTCCTCAGCTGAAAGGTTTTTTTGTGTAACAAACTGTGTAATTCGTGACGGCTCGGCTCGATCTCAGAACCGTAAGACCTACCATTAGGATTCTTTACGAACTGAACGCAACTATCCTTTGTCCATGATTCGGCTGCCTTTTTGAATATGTTACGTAGTTCCTTGCCTACAACACGCTTCATTATTGCGGCCACTAGCACCACTACCTCTGCCAAACTTACCGATCGTTTTGTTGAAGGAGTAGTACACAACCCCGTCCTTCCACAGTTTCGTGCGTAATTGAGGACTGAACGCTTGACGCTTGGTACGTTCGGAACTTCCTTCCAAAAATTCCTCCACGATATCTCTTTTTTGTTCCCTTCAAACATACTGATTTGTTCTTGATAAGATTTATAAATTGAGTCGTGAGGACGTACACTGAAAGTGCTATATCGCCTTGGAAGTACTGCCCAATGACATCGCTGCCTTCGTTAATGTCGTTGATATTGTCGCCTAATGGATGGACACGGATGTGTCGGGTCGTGGTTTCTCTCTATAGAATTTAAAATAATTAATTGCACAAAATCAAGCTTTTCTATATAGTCCCATATCGGACTTCCTCGACTAGTGTCCCAATCCTACACTTCCTTCTTGTCTTGTTGATGTCTACGTGATCCAATGAATAGCGCAAACGTACGCAGATATAAAGCCTTCGTCAACTGATCTGTGAGACTACTAATAAGAACGATACCTTGGCTCTTTCCTCCAAAAATCTTTTTGCCTTTGGTGTCTGCTCCAAAGTCTGGAGTATTACATCCTGCATATCCTCTATATTGCCATGAGTTGGACTCCCGCTGACTGTCACAACCAATAGCAATGTTACTAGTATGATCCTCATCCTGAAGTGTGAGATCCTTTTCAAAGGCGCTCTGCGATTCTGTCCTAGTATGCCAGCAAGATTAGCTGTGACCGAGTTGCTTTGAACATTTTTCTTGGAGTACAGTGAAAATCGATTGACTGATAAGGTGTTGAGCCATTTGGACTAAATTTGGTCACAGACTTACCACAGTGATTTTTAAGAAGGCGCAGTTCACGGTGATTTAAGGTATTATTTGAAGGCAAACAAAGCGTGAAAATCGCCGACTTCGTGAAAAATAAGGCTTTCTGAATAGTGAGAACAAGGGTTGTATGAGATCACCGCAACTTCAACGGTATGGAATGGTTGTTTGGACGAGATTTCAGTTGTTATGATTTCGTGAATAGCTGACCATGTGAGGCCAAGATTGTCAAACATGCCTTCCATTCATCGCCACGGGTCACGACTAGTTGTTTGAGTCTCCACTGTGGGTGTTCCTTGCAAATTGTCCAGCCTCTACAAAGTCGTTGGAACTCGTCCGTGTTTGGGTGTGGCATTGCCAATACATCTTTGATTTCTTATAACGCCCTATCTAGGCCGTTTTCCGCTCTGACAGCTCCACATATGGGGCCACTGTTTCATGTCAGAATTATTTCAGGTACCGTCCTCGGACAGTGCCTAAAAATCAGAGTCATCCGTATCACTTTCTTAACCCTTTGACGACAGCGCGGCTCAACGGTGG